CTTAAAATTTGTTCATATATTAATTCATGCAGAAGATGCTGTTTCAATCTTCTCAGCTAAGTAAACCAATCCCTGCCTAAGCTATCAAATAATACGAAGGTGCAGAGCCTCTAATATTGAAATAATCTGTTCCAAATGCTAATCAGTCATCCTTTCAAAATGCAAACAGAACCAACTCTCTCTGCTTCCTTTCTTCCTGAAGACCTAGGGGCACAGTAAGACTGACCCTACGTGAGCATACCCATGGATACAGAGGGTAGCCCTGTGGCCGTTGACACGTTCTCTTTAGTGTATACCTTCCCAGGGATGAACCATGTCCGAGAGGCAGGATGGGCATTGCCACGCAGAGCAGAGCAGAGCAGAGCAGAGCAGAGCAGAGCAGAGCAGAGCAGACCTTTACACCTTTGCTTGCCAAGGGACCCAGAATCTCCTCCCTGCCTTTCTGCTTCTGCTGCTGCAGGGCGGGGCAGCGACTCTGCAGCCTGAACTGGAGGCCAACAAGGATGTGCTTGTTCCAAGTCTCCACCCTACATCCACAGCATCAGCGAATCCCACATCATCTAGCAGCTAGGATGTAACCACACCACACTTCAGCCCCCTCCCCAAGATGACCATCCCAGTCAAAGCCACCCACACCCTTCTCCTCACATACTTCTGTAGACTCTACCCCCACTCAGCTCAAATCAGCCTGACGCGGCCATCAGTGTAGTCTTTTCCAAAAGGAAACCCAAACAGGTTACTCTGATGTAAAACCAATCAATAGCTTCTAGTTGAAAGGGGAATTAGATCTGTCTCCTCCTACCATGGTCTGGGAGCTCTTTTCCCCCCTCCCCTTATCTCTGCCCTTCTTGCTGCAGCCATTCTTCTACATGCTGAGAAGCTTGTGTCCCCAGGACCTTTGCACAAGCTGTAGCTTTTCTTTAAGTCATAGCTAAGTTTCACATACATTCTGGACTTGAGTACGACCTTCCCAGTGAGTTCACTGAGTCTGAACACTCTATCAACCCTTTAAAGAAATTCTTTACACATTGCAAGTAGATGTTTCTCTTCTGTGTTTAGCTTGTGTTTCTTATACTAGAGGAACTGCGAGCAGGGGTCTTGTTTACCTTCATAGCATCCCCAGAACCCACAACAGAGCTCTGCGCACAGTAGAACATGAGGATACGAAGTGACAGGAAGGAGCCTGGAGTGAGATTTTTCTCATGCTGGTTTCTTTGGAGGGAAGCACAGTTTGCATCTCCGGTCCCAAGAGAAGCATTCCAAGTGGCCTAGTCTTCAAGGACAGGAGAGACTCTGAGGTGGCAAGAAGGGACACCAGCAAGACAGAGAACATATGCCGAGGAAGACTGCCAAGGATGGGAACGTTTGCCAACTGGGAAACGGTACTTGTAAGCCACGTCTATGAAAATGTACTGGGAGAGAACTCGCAAAAGTTAGCTTAAAAGACAGATAACGCAATAATCAGCAAGGGCAGATAGCTTCAGGAGAATTCCCCAGGAGGAGGCATGTGAAATATCCCCTGAGCACCCGAGCAGAGTTCAACTTCTATCTGAGATATGCATCAGAAGGAAGCTGGCTATCACTCCCTACAAATGTCCATCATTAGCTCCAAACACTTTTCTCCCAATTCTACAGCAAACATCTTCTTTTCTCCCAATACAACTGTGTATTTTCCATCATGTGTTTAGTTTGCAGTACTTTCTGGGATGTTATTGGCTCCCGGGCCCTAATCTTCAAGGTGACCGGGACAGAACCTCTATGACAGTCCTCTCTTTATCCTAGCCGAAGACCCAGACACACAGCCAACAAGCCAGAGAAATGCTGCCCTCAAAGGATTCAGCTGGCTGCCCTTGCACGTGACCACACTTGCACGTGACTGCACTTGCACGTGGCTGTTGTGTGCAGGGCGTGGGGTGGAGGCTGAGACATGGGGTGAGTGCAGGATAGACTCGGGTATTCCTTATTGGAAGGATTCATTCATTAGTCCTTCAGGCTCCTTGGAATTCTTCACCAAAGACCTGTGTCCCAAGATCTCAGATCTGCCTCACATCTCCTGAGGGATTTCTTTAATCATCCTTTGTTATGGGTTGAACTGGGGACCCCCATGGTGCTATTAGTGTAGACCCTAATCCAATGTGACTGAGTCCTCATGAATAAGGACTTGAATTTAATCAAACACACTGTGAGAACACATTCATGATCTTTCTGTAAAAGAGGGTAGAAACTCATTATCTCTACACATTTTTTTTTTAGCCAAAATAATAAACCAACCCTTGACTTCTGAACTAAACACTGAAGAGAGTTTAAACATAGAAAACCACAAGGCGTTTTTGGAAACGTTGCAAAGACAAATGAGCCACCCATAAAATTGATCTGTGGGGACCAACACAGGCCAATGACAGTTCAGTTAAAGGTTATTAACAATACAAATCCTGATCAATTATTTAAATATAATTTAAGACAGACATAGTGCAAAACCTTCTCAAACCACGCACAATTGATTTACTGAAAATGGTGTTGTACCTTCCAACAAACCAGTTAGTTCCAAATCAATAAAATTACCTCTCTCAATAAACCTTTTTACCCAAGGCCAATCTATCATTATCAATACCATTTAACAAAACTGGCATCTGATGCACTTATGAACCAGAGAGTGGATCTTCTCTCAGCCCACACGCTGTCCCCCTAGGGAGAAGCATTTGTTAAGAGGAACTGAAGGGAGTCCATTTTGCTGTTCTGGTTTTTTGTTCTGCATAGTCACTTACCAAATCTACTGCACAGGGCTCTGAACTTCTAATCTCCTGCAGCAAAACTAATATTGGGAGGTACTCACTGGAAAAATAAAAACCGTCTGGGTCTGACCCAGACAACCATAACCCAGCTATTCTTTCTCACACAGAGAAAGGAGCCATCAGAATGCGAAAGAGAGATGGGAACAGCATTGAGTACAAATGCATGTCATTCTCCCTGCAAACAGAGATAAAACGCTCCAATGTTGATGTTCATGTGTGGTCAGAGGCCTCTAATAACACTGAAGGAGTTGAGACTGAGAAGGTGACTATTGTTTGCACAAGATACGATTTTAATGACTTTTTAAAAGGCTGTGCGTTCATGTAAAAGAACTGGAGTGTGCCATGCAAACCTTTCATTAGACAGACGAGCTCCACTAACGGCTCACAACTCATTCTGTCTTTGCAGCAAGGTTCTGAAGATTCGTGCACGCAGATCACACTGTTAGTTTAACTCTCAGTGAGCTGGATATGACTTTCCCAGCTGTCGGCTCAGTGAGAACATCTTCCAAGAGGAAGAAGAGGGGGTTGGGCGGCAGTGGCTGAAGTCATGGGCAGAGCAGACAGAAATCATCTGACCTCCACATCAGCTCGAGCCATTTCGTCGCAGTAGTCATCAGGCAGGTGCGGGGAGTTTAACGTCAGGTGGCTGGAGGGTTTGGAGTCCTGCTCTGAGAGCGGGTCCTCAGCTGTACAGCGAAGGTGTGGGCCTACTGGCATTTATGATCTGCCCCCATCTGACTGTCACTTCCAGACTGCCTACCAGATACCTTCTTCTACCCTTTGTTCTGGAAACTTCCAACAAGAAAGTAGAGAAAACTGTATAATGGCCCTCTTCCCACGAGGCAACCAGCCTTCAACAACTGTCCACTCAACACCAGTCTTGACCTCTACCTCAACTCCCTTCCTCAAATGGAGCCCTCTAAGAATCCTCAAATCTTCTTGTTGTGACAATTACCTGCTTGAGGCATTTGATGAATTACAACTTGAATTCTTAAAGAGCCAGGACACTCCAGAGAGGGAGAAGAAGGAAACAGGAAAGGAAAGAAGGAGAGAGAGAGACAGAGACAGACAGACAGACAGACAGACAGACAGACAGACACACACACACACAGAAAGAGAGAAAAAGCTGTCCTTTGGCATGCCATGCTTGTTCCCCTCCAGGGCCTCGGCATGGCATTTGCCATTCTCTTTGTACTTCTGAGAAGTCTGTGTCCCTTGCCAAAAAGAAAGTTAAGACACTAGGCCCTGGAGGAAAAGCACAAGTGAGTCTGTCTTTGGGAAAGGTTGGGTCTGACAGCAGAGCTCTCATTGGGAATTAGTGTCCTTATCTAAGAGGCCTATGGGAGCTAAAGCCCTTCCTACTTCAGCAGCAGGCAGCATTCCATAGCCTAGAGAAGGCCCCCACTGCATCCTCCCCATGCTGACAGACTGAGGTCATTCAGAAGCCACCAAGCCTGTTATACTTTTAAACCCTCCTGACTCCAGTGGCCGTCTGCCGGGCTTGGGCATTCAGCATCACACTCCTCTATAGTAATCTATATTATTTGTATTGTTCGTACTTTATATTTGGATTTTAATAAGTAAATCTTCTCTGGAGACCAGAGGCAAAGCTAAAGCTTTTTTTTTTTTTAGGTCAGGAAATGGTAACACACACCTTTAATCCCAGGATTTGGGAGACAGAGGCAGATGAATCTCTGTGAGTTCAAGGCTACCTTGGGCTACACAGGATCAATGCAAAACCAAATCCAGGTGATGGTGGCCTACACCTTTAATCCCTGGACTAGAAAGTCACACGCCTTTAATTCCAACACTAGAGGGACTATAAAATGAGAGGAGAGAGAGGCTTAGTCTACTTAGCTTGTGGTTGCCCAGCCCTGGTAGAGAGAGAGGTGAGACTTCTCTAGTGGCTTGGCTGCTTTGTTTTTCTGGTGTCTTGGTTGAACCCCAATTTTATTCACGCTACACTCCTCAGAGCATGCAGCTCTGTACCTCAAAGCCTCACTTTTGGTTCTCCACATGGCTAGTGATGTCACGATCTCCACATACCTCACAGTCTAGTGTACTCTCAGCTCCAGGGTTTCGGGGAGACTTGAGGCTCTCCTGTCTTGTTTTCCAGGCTGTTTCCCTCCACTTCCTGTTGGATGCTCCTCAGCTACTGCATCCCTGATGTCCCTGATGGAAATTTCTCTAAGAGCCAGCTCTGTGAGCTCAACTGCCCACAGGGGTGCTACGCTGGTCCTCCCACCAGCCCTTCACTCCAGCATGGGGTCTGTCGGGGGGATCAAATCACCCATTATTGTCAAGCAAGTTTTCAGTTAGCAGAAGACAACTCTATCCTCAAGAATCAATTTATAATCAAGAGCAACATGAACCTTTCTTCCTAGACTTATGA